ACCCATGAGCTTTTCCATCTTACTTTCTTCCCCTGTCCTGTTGAGGAGGAGGAGTGTGAGAGCGGCTGGGTGGGCATCTGGCAGCCGGCTAAGGTCAACCCACCAGAGTTACAAAGCATTGAATTGTCAGCTGAACATTTTCAGTGTCTCATGGAAAAGTTCAGAACCATCAGTGGCTTTGTCTTGCCAGTGTGCAGCTCTTCAGCGTGACTAAGTAAGCCCGTTACCTTCATTAGTGACATCAGTAACTAGCATCATCCACCCTGATTCTGTGTATCTCTCACATTCATGAGATGAAACAAGAGGAGGAGACTGGCTTGCACAGGAACGTAGATGTTTGTCGATCGATGCAGGAAATGTGAGATCTGGGTTCAGGGTGCTCTGAAGACTGAGCTCACCGCTTTCTTCCTGGGGTTGCGTGGGGTTGTGCCCATCGCAGTCTGGCCAGGTCTGTGAGAGCATCGTTTCATTTCTGATGCTTTAGTACTGAGCAGCTAGACGTGAAAGCTGCCGTAGAGTGGGAGAGACAACTGTGGTATGGGATAGGGATATGCAGTTTCTGTCATGTTGTGCTTCGAAGAAATTATGGAGGGGGTTTAGGGGTGTCTTTGGTGGTGTCTCAGGACAGGAGGTTGATTGTGGCAGTAGCTCCCCTGTGGTTGTTAAAAGTTTGCAGCATGATTCTCAAACATATGGCTAGGCCAAACTAAAAACTTGGCTACAAAACCACAGCCCTTCTCGTGGATGGAGCCAAATTTCATAATAGTGTAATTCATAATTAAATAAGCACTATAGGATGCTGGGGGGTTTTGTACCAGGATGAGATACGAGTTTTTGTTTTGTTTTCTCTTCCTCTACAGTAGCCAAAGATACTTTGATTAAAACTTGCAACAGAAAGTCATGCGCATGAAGAAAATGCCAGTTGTAGTTGCAGTGGTGCTGTACTGAAAATGTAGGCCTTTTGGGAGGGGGGAGAGTTTTGTTATTAGACTGATTGCCATAGCTTCTCAGAAGAAGAGCTTGTAAGCCTGAAAACTTACATGTCTTCTGTAACAATTGCTCTAATAGCAGTTTGCCCATATGGACCTGGGTATGATTTGTGTTTTTAATTAATTTTTCAAGGGAATAAATGTCCAAAAGTGATTAGCGAAAGGCTCCAACGCATGGCACCAAGAAAGAGAGGTTGATCTCTTTTAGGATGAGTTAGTTAATTGATCCAAGAGAACAGATGTTTTGGTAAGGTCATGCAGTGTTTGGCTTGATTATATGCCCAGTTTAGGACATACATCTGCTATATGTTTTTACGTAGGTGGGTGACTGGAGTCCACCAGGTGGGTTGGGGTGGGAGGTAGGAGAACGGAGAAGGAAGGGCTGTCACATGAATTCAGGTCACCTTCACCTGGGCAATGTTGGGAGCTGGAAGTTAGCTGCCACAGTTGGTGAAGAGAGTTGAGTGAGCCAGGAGGGGAATGTGGCCTGAAAAACGCGTTGACTCAATACATTATATCGGCAATCTCTGCTGGTGAGTCTCCCAAGTGTCATCAATTAACGTGGGGCGCTGGAGCAACCTGGCCTCACTCAGGTGTGGATGCTTCATCTGCCTGGCTGACCGGAGAGGCTCCTGGGGGAACTCAGTTCACACCCCCAGCCCCCATGGGGATGAGTCAAGCCCCTTTGCCTTAGATGACTGCCCACCGTATGCAAACCTCGGCAATTACATCCTATTTGCTGAATGGCTTTGAACATACTGCAGCGCAAACACTGGTTATGGCAGGAGAGCACAGTTTGGAGAGATCAGCTCTCTGGGTGACTATTGGGCTAAACATGTCATCCATATGTATAGCATGCAGGCTGGTTCTACTTGGCTACTGCCAGGCAGTGGCCCTCCCCCAGGATGTGTCACACCATGTCCTTCCAGTTATAAATGCAGAAGGGATCGAATAGTTTGGAAAGAATCTACTTCTGTGATTATTGCCACTCTGAATTATAAATGACCCAAAAGCCAGAGCTGTTCGCTGCATTCACTCTTCAGACCAGCGCTCAAAAGGCAGAGCGCTGCTTTTAACAAATATGATTTTAGAGAACAAAAGGGGAAGTGAGCGCTAGGAAAATTTAGTTAAATGTAAATGTGTTAAATGGTACATGAACTAGTCAGGTTTTCGTGATTTATCAGTTTTAAACTTCAAAGGCTCTGGTTAGCTTGCATTTTTAAAACTAATGAGTTTATCACAGCCAGTGGGGAAAAATGGTTCAAGTATATCAGCTGTAAATTGGTACAAAGCACTAAAAGGGACATTAGCCTCTAATCAGATTCTAACAGTCCATTAAACCTGCCTTTCCTCGGTGGCGCTTTGTCTTCCCCCCTCCTCCTGCCTGTGCCTCCTGCGCAAGCCAGCCTCGTCCCTTCGTTCAGGCGGGAAAGACCTCCTCAGGGACACGAAGCAATATCAGCTCATCCTTCTTTGTCTATGAGCTAAACAGCCTAAGGGATGCTTGATGATGGTATATTCCTGATCTTGCTGTAAAACTCAACTGTGCTGCGTATAAATCAAGGAGGGAGAGGGACCTCTCTGCTTGCAAAATAGGCACTGGGGGAGC